AGCCGCCGCCGCCCGACGCCGCGCGCCCACCGTTTAGCTCGGCGTCAAGTACGTCTGCGGCGACTGCGGCGCCGAGAACATCATCAAGGCCCGCGACGCCGTGCGCTGCCGCTTCTGCGGCTACCGCATCCTCTACAAGGTGCGGACGAAGCGCCTCATCCAGTTCGAGGCGCGCTAGGCCCCTCGGCGCGGCGGGGGCGCGCGCGAAGTTGTGGTGTTGTTGTGAAAAAGAATGGAGGTCGTCGCGCTGGGCACGAGCGCGGGCGCGCCGACGCGGGAGCGGAACGTGCAGGCCTGCTACGTGCGGCTCGAGGACGGGAGCTTCGTCGTCTTCGACTGCGGCGAGGGCACGCAGCACCGGCTCCTCGAGGCGGGCGCCAAGGCCCGGGGCCCGCGCCGGTTCCGCGCGGGCCGCGTCGCCGCCGTCTGCGTGACGCACCTCCACGGGGACCACGCCTTCGGCCTGCCGGGCCTGCTCTGCTACCTCGACGCGAACGGTGGCGCGGGCGCCGGGCCCGTCGAGGTCGTCGGGCCATTGGGCACGCGCGCGTACGTCCGCGCGGCGCTGTCGCTGTCGCGCACCGAGCTCGCGCGCGGCTTCGCGGTCACGGAGCTCACGGGCTTCCCCGCGGCCGCCCCGGGCGCGCGGGGCGAGGCCTGCGAGGCGCCCGCGGCCGCCGTCGCCGGCGCCCTGGCGGGTGTGGTGTGCTGTGATGAGGTGGCGCGTGCTGCGGCTGTTGCTGTTGATGGCACCTGGCACAACATCATCACAATCCCCGGCGCGACGCTGCGCGCCGCGGCGCTGGACCACGGCGCCATCCCCTGCGTCGGCTACCGCCTCGAGGAGCGGCCGCGGCCCGGCCGCGTCGACGCGGCCGCGGTCGCCGCGGCCGCGGCGCGCGCGGGCTCGGAGCCCGCGGCCGTCTTCGGCGCGCTCGGGCGCGCGGCCCTCGCGGGGCTCCCGTCCGTGGCGCTCGCCGACGGGTCCGCGCTGCCCCTGGCCGAGGCCTACGTCGGCGGGGCGGCCCTCGCGGCCGGCCGCGCGGTCGTCGTCTTCGGCGACCGCGCGCCGGGCCCGGGCGAGCGCCGCGCCGTCGCGCTCGCGGACGGCGCCGACGTCGTCCTCCACGAGGCGACGCTCGACGACTCCCTCGCGGCCCTCGCCCACGACCGCGGCCACTCGACGCCGGGCGACGCGGGCCGGCTCGCGGCCGCCGCGCGCGCGGCGACGCTCGCGCTCTGGCACTTCTCGCCGCGCTACAAGCCCGGCGACCTCGCCGCCTTCGCGGACGCCGCCCGGGCCCACTTCGGCGGCACCGTCGTCATCGCCTCGGACCTCCTCGCCATCCCCGTCGCCCGCCGGACTTAAGGGCCCCACGCGGCGACGTAGGGGTACCGCGCCGCGACGTGCGCGGCGACCGCGTCGTAGCGGTCCCACTGGTGGACGAGGGCGTAGGGCCGCCCGTCGGCGTTGAGCACCGCGCCCGCGTCGCCCACGCGCGCCTCGAGGTTCGAGCACAGGTTCGCGACCTGCGCCGGGGGCGGCCGACGAGTCACACGAAACGTCGGCGCGGCGCGGCGCGGGTCCGCGACGGGCCCGTCGTCCGTCGTGTAGACGCGCGGCGAAACCGTCGTGTAGACGAGCTTCGAGAAGACGAACTGGTCCCAGCCGCCGCAGGCCTCGAGGTCGCAGACGAGGCGCTCCAGCGCGGCGAGCACGGACGGCGGGTCGCCGAGGACGACGCCCAAATTCACGGGCGGCAGCGAGTCGTAGGTCTCGTAGGCCGGATCGCAGTCGTAGCCCCAGGAGTGCCGGGACCAGTCGAGGTAGACCTTGCGCTTGTGGCGCAGGCTGAAGACGGCCGTCTCCGTGAAGACCTGGGAAGGAAACGAGTGATTCAACGTCGCTCGAGTGTTCCGCGCGCGCGCGTTTCGGAAATAGCACCCACGCTTCGAGAGCGCTCCGAGAGATGATCGCTCGTCCAAAGATCAGCCAAAACGAGCGGAAAACGACCGAGAGAGGAGCCTTTGAAGTTGGGAAGTTCGCTCTCTTTTCCCGCCCCGGTGAAGACCGCGAGGCCCTCCCCGGGCGCGGCCGCGAAGACGTCGCCCTGGGCGTAGACGTCGCGGACGTCGACCCAGCCGACGCGGCCGTAGCGGCCGCCGAAGTGGTTCACGTAGGCGTGGAAGAGGCGGAAGCGGAACGTCGACGCGGCGCGGCCGCGGCCCGGCAGCGTGGCGAACGCGCCCGCCCTCAAGTCGTCGACCGTCGCGCCGGGTACGTCCGTCGGGAAGAACTCGAGCCAGTTGGCGCCGAAATCCGCGAAGACGCGCCGCACGGCCGCGTCGCTCGCGTTCCGCGTGAAGAGCGCGACGTCGCACGCGCAGCCTGCGTGGAAATAAAATCTTCAATCCGACTTCAACGTGCGCATATGAGACCGTTTTGACGCGACCTCTTCGGCTGCGCTTCGAGAACTCGACGAGAGCGATCGATTCGTCCAAAAGTCAGCCGAATCGACTTCGATGTGACTGAGCTAGAGATTCCCGAAGTTTGGCCCCGACGTCCCGGCTCGCCGGTCGATTTCCACACGGCGCGCGGCCGCCCTCGCGGAGGCTCCGGAGGAACGTCGCGTAGGGCGCCGGCGCGGCGTAGTCGCCCGCGCCCATGAGGAGGCAGGGCCCCGGAGGAGCGCCGCTCGGCGCCGGGTCGGCGAAGAGGTCGGGCCGCGCGGCGCGCGCGGCGCGCGCCGCGGCGCGGCCGTCGTTCGCGAGGCCGTGGGCCTTGAGGAGCGCGCGCGTCCGCGCGGCGTTCTTCGCCCGGCTCAGGGGCGCGGCGCAGGGCGGCGCGGCGCAGGTCGCGGCGAAGGTCGCGAGGCGCGCGGCGTGCGCGGCGCGCCAGGCGCACGGCGCCGAGCCGTGGAGCGCGAGGTACGGCGCCGCGCGCCGCGACGGCGCCACGCGGCCGTAGGCGTCCGGCGCGCCGCAGCCCGCCGCCGGCGACCAGAAGAGGTGCGCCGCGGGGGACGGGCAGGGGCCGCCGCCGAGCGCGTGGTCGCGGACCGCGTCGCCCGCGCCGAGGAGCGCCCGCGTGCCGCCGCCGCCGCCGAAGGCCGCGCAGCCGGACGCGCCCGCGACGGTGTCGCGCAGCGCGGCGCTCTGGAAGCTCACGCCGTCGGCGTCCGTGAGCAGGGCCGCGCCGGAGCCGCCGAGGAGCCGCGCGCCGGCGCGCCACGCGTCGCCCGCCGCCTCCACGACGCGCGCGGCCTGGCTCGGGAACCGCGCGGCGACGCGCGCCGCGGCGGCCGCCGCGCCCGGCGCGGCGACGACGGACACCGTGGCGCGGGGCAGCGCGGCGCCCAGGGACCCGAGGAAGGCCGCGAGGCTCGCCTCGTCGTCGTCGCCCCAGACGCCCACGACGGCCATGGTCGTCACGACCTCGGCCAGCGCCGGCCGCCGGAACGACGCCACGGGCGGCTCGTGGACGTACGACGTTGACGTTTTCGGCGAATGGCAGGCAGTGTCGGAGGATGTGACAGCGGCCAGCAGCGCGAGCCATCGGGCTGCCCCCATCATCGTCAACCTGTCAGTTGAAACTGTGTTGAAAACGTCACTTCTAAACTCTACGAGGTTTGCCTCAACAAAGGCCGAGGGCTGGGACGCCCGCATCCAGCTCCTTGCGCGCGACGGGGATCGCCGCGTCGAGCCGCGCGGGCCGAGCCTAGCCTCAGCGCAGGCCGAGGGCTGGGACGCCCGCATCCAGCTCCTTGCGCGCGACGGGGATCGCCGCGTCGAGCCGCGCGGGCCGAGCCTAGCCTCAGCGCAGGCCGAGGGCTGGGACGCCCGCATCCAGCTCCTTGTGTGCGACGGGGATCGCCGCGTCGAGCCGCCGGCCGTCGCCGACGACGATGGCGCCTGCGCCGCCGGCGGTGGAGAAGCTCATGGACAACCCCGACGCGACGCGGGCCTGCCTCAAGTGGCTCGACGGTGCGAGCGTCGAGGCTTGGCGCTGCGCGGGCAAGCGCGTCGTCGAGGTGGCCTCGGCCGACGCCGTCTGGCGCGAGCTCGCGCGGCGCGACTTCTACGGCGGCGGAGACGTGCCCGCGGCCGCCGAGGCCCCCGGGGGCGCCCCCGGCGCGGCGCCGACCGACGAAGTTCTAGCGTGCGCGACGTGGCGCGCGGCGCACGGGCGCTGGTCGCGCGTCGCGGCGCGCGTCGACGGCCCCCGCGCGCCCTCGCCGACCGAGGCCGCCCTCGACGAGTCCGGCGAGGAGCCCTTCGCCGCCGCGTCCGCCTTCGACGCGCGGCTCTGGTCGTCCGTCGCCGCGAGCTGGCGGGCGCTGAAGGGCGCGCTCGCGGGCCGCGGGACGGCGGAGGACGCCGCCGTCGGCGACGCCGTCGTCGCGACGCTCCGGCCCGGCGCGTCGAGCGAGGACCTGGCCAGGGTCCGCGCGCGGAGCCTCCGCTACTGCTACGCGATGCGCGACGGCCGCGCGGAACCCGAAGTCTTCGACCCGACTTCAATGTGGGTGTATTCGAATGGTTCGACACAAGCACTTTCGCCGTGCTCCGAGCACTCGACGAGAGCACTCGATTCGTCCAAAAGTCGGCCGAATCGACGTCGACGCGACCGAGCTCGAGCGGTTCGAAGTTTGGTCGCGACCCAGCTCACCGTTTGATCGCCGCGCAGGCACGACGGCCAGGACCTGGCCTTCGACGCCGCGCTCGCCGCGCGGGACCGCGGCGCCATGAAGACGAGCCAGCACACCATCTTCCACGGCCTCTTCGGCGGCCTGGCGGCCTACGACTACGTCGCGTGCGGCCGCTTCAAGTCCGTCGCCGCCGTCGCGGCGGCCGACGACTTGGCCGTCGACGGCGCCGCGGTCTTCGCGACGAACTACCGCGGCGACCGCGCCTTCTTCGCGACGGACGACGACCGGCGCGTCTACGTCGACGGCGAGCCCGCGGCGCCGGAGGGCGCCGGCGCCTTCGCGGCGTGGTTCGCGGCGTACGCGGCGCGCGTCGCGTCGTCGTGCTACCGCGTCGCGCCGATCGTCCCCGACGCGCCCCGCACGGCGGGGATCGTGCTCTTCCCCGACGGCGAGCTCCCGGGGGGCGCGGGCGTCGCCGCGGCGACGACGGTCGGCGTCCAGGTCCGCGCGTCCGCCGTCTACCTGCCGAACCACCCGTCGGGCTTCGCCTACTCCATCCGCCTCCGGGCGACGGAGGCCCTGTCCTACGGCTCGTGCCAGCTCAAGGCGCGCCACTGGAAGATCGCCGACGGCGACGAGCCCCACCGCGACGTCCGCGGCGACGGCGTCGTCGGCAAGTTCCCCGTGCTCCGATTCGGCGGCTGGCGCGACGACGCGCAGGTCGGCGACCTCGCGCGGGGCTTCGAGCGCGCCGTCGAGCGCGGGCCGGACCGCGACGGCGAGTTCGTCTACCAGTCCTTCTCGGGGCCCATGCTCCGGCCCGGCGGCGGCACCTTCGAGGGCGCGCTCGAGTTCCACCCGGGCTCCGTCGTCGAGCCCGCGGGGCCCACGTTCCTCGTCGCCGTGCCCCGCTTCCGCCTCCGGGTCCCCGAGTTCATCTTCTAAGGCGCGCCCTACTTTTCGACGAAGGACCCCCGGTCCATGACGTAGGTCGTCCCGTCCGCCGCGGTGAACTCCGCGGGGTTCAGAGCCGGCAGGACGACGCCGACGACGAGCAGGCCGACGACCGTCGCGATGAACGCGCCCGCGATGATCTTCGTGATCGTGTCGTCCGTGTTCGCGGCGAGCGCGTACTCGAGGTCGTACTCCTCGCCCGCCTCGGCGCCGAACGCCGCCGCGCGCTTGCTGTCGTACTTGCTCGCGTCGCGCGCCTGGGCCTGCAGCCACTCCTCCGCCGCCGCCTTCGAGTATTCCTTCTCGATCCATCTGTATTTCCTGTCGCTCCTCGAGGCGCGCAGCGCGGCGCGCCGAGATGCTGTGCGCGCCGACGGCGCGATCAGCGCGTCCGCCATTGGCGCCAGTGCGAGGAGGAGCCACGCGGCGCGACGCATTGCCATTGCTGAGCACTGTCACGATGCGCGCTACCAGATTGACGCACGGCTCGTGCACTCGGGTGCGATCCGGGTCGCGACGCGCGGTGCTTGAGCACACTCGGACCTCGCTCGAGAGCATGCATCAAGATCGCAACCTTGTGCTGCGTTATTGACGTTGGTGTTGCACCGGCAGCCCATTGCCATTGGCTGCTTGTGTACGCCTCCTCGCAGCCCCATTGCAGCCCTCCTCGCGCGCGAACCGAACCACAATGAAGCTCGTCCTCGCCTGTGTGGAAACCTCCTCTGCTGTGCTTCAAGAACTCGATGAGAGCAATCGATTCGTCCAAAAGTCAGCCGAATCGACTTCGATTTGACCGAGATAGAGATTCTGAAGTTTGGTGGGGACCCCCCAAACCAGTGGTTGATTTCCACACAGGTCCTCGCCCTCCTCGCCGCCGCTTCCGCCAGCGCCAAGACGCCGATTGCAATGTACGGGGCCTCTTGGTGACCGCACTGTCAGGCGGCTCAGAAAGACGCGCCGTCCGACAGCGACCTCAAGCTCGAGATCTTCGAGTGCGACAAGCTCAAGCCGGCGCCGGCCGTCTGCTCTCAGATCGAGGGCTACCCGACGTCCTGCTCAGCGTCCTGTGGCCGTGACGTTTTCGAGGGAAAACGATGAAAAATCGTCACCGTCGCGCTCGGTAGGTTCTGCTGCCCCGGCGACGACACCTGCTCCAAGACGAACAACCTGCAGGTGGGCTACGCGACGGGCTCGGGCTTCAAGGCCATGGAGGCCAAGGCCGCGACGGCGTGCGCGCAGGGCGCGAACGCGACCTACGTGCTGCCCTCGTGCCCCGTCGCCTAGGCCGCGGCGCGTGCGGGGCCCCGCCCGGCGCGGCGGCACCGGCGCGCACCATGACCCGGCGCCGCGGGCTAGGCGACGGGGCACGAGGGCAGCACGTGGGTCGGGTGCGCGCGCTGCGC